GAAAATGGCACCTTGGGCAAACCACCGAACAGACAGACACTGTATAAAACTACAAAAACAATATTTCCTTATCTAAAAGAGCCCGCTGCTACATCTCTTTCTATTCACCACACTGCTCTTTAGCACCCGCGCCAATGGAAGACTAGCTCTGAAATTGGAGTACGCAAAACACCACCCAAATTGTACAAGACCCATAGAAACTCCACAACGACCATCATACATAGAACGGCTTAGCCAAAGTCCTACATAGTCACCGACTGATACAGGACTCTAATGGAAATATAATAATAATAATAATGTATCAATAATAGCTCGCCAAAGTCTTGAACAGCGTCATTCACAGAAAAGCAGGATGCCCGTGTATTTTGCGGCTGTGAAGATGTCTAGCGTACACAATGCCTTTGAAGATTCTTTGAGTTGAGGCACATTGTGTATGTCCGTCTCGGCCATGGGAGAGACCCAACATTGCAGCGTGCACAATGTCCATTATAGGATATCTCTTTGTTTCTTTCCCACAAAGCACGAGGAGAATGCCTACAGATAGACGTCTGAAGCTCGAGTGGAATTTCCTGTCGTTTCACCAAACTTCACCAAAAACGAAGACTACAATTGCTCTGATCATCACTAGCAGATTCTCGTTTTGACATGCAGATCACTATGCCGTCTCATCCCAAATCCAACAACGACTATGTCTTCGTACGTAACAAGCGCACAAAAGAAATCGCCATCCGCCGCGCAAACGAGTTTTCCTCACACCCAAAAGTCTCTAAACCACTTGAAGACCGTGTCTTGCACTACATCGGCTTAGACCGAAAAGTAGCATGCCGATGCAGCGATCCCAAGCGACACTATGAAAAGACAATTAGCGTAGCACCCGAGTCAACCCATCTCAACGCGAGTCTAGTATTATACATGAATCGCCATGATCTCAAGTCATGTACCATTTCCGACTTCAAGAAGTTTCGCGAGCGCCGCAAGGCCCAGTGGGCGAAGCAAGGTGTTGACGTTGACATGTTTCACTATGCCGCTGGAGACAAAGGCGTTGTCTGTCGCTGTACAAAGCCAGCGAGTTATGAGTTTGGCAAGCCTAGAAACCCAGAGATCATAGAGCAATGCGCAGAGTTCTTTTGTGGTTACAAGGAGATGACTAAGGTAACCAAGGAGCAGTGGTTACGTGTAGATGGCGACACGCCGCCCGTGTACTCGCCCACTGTCCAGGTTCCGGATTGTGAATCACCTGACTCTCAGCCTGATCCCTTTCACTATGATCGTTCATCACTGTACACCGACAAGACCGGGGTGCCGGTCGCGCCTACGAAGACACACAAGTCTGGTGGACGAACAACCCCTGCTGGCTCTAGCCGCCGTCGTAGTTCGTTAGTGTCAAAGCTCGATGATAACATTCCTTCGCAGGTATGGGAGAAGGCTCGTCCTTCTGTTTGCATACCGGGTTATGGCACATCTTCAGCGATTAGCACGCCGCTGGGCACCGAGTTCCCTCCCACACCATCCACCACACGTCCTGTCCCAGCAAATGTGTCTGCGGGAAAGCGACATACATCTATGTACTCTTCGCGTCGTGATTCTACATCCACTTACTGGTCTCAAATCCAACGTGAGGCTGGGGGTAAGGATGAGGACTTTGCCATCCCAAGCAGCGACCCGATTGCTGAGTTGGACTCCCTTGCGGATGATATCGAGACTATGACGATTTGTGAGCTACCAGATAACTTTCGAACGCCCCCTGTCCCGTTTGCTGCAGGAACGGCTGACATTCCTCTTCTTCGTGCCGACGTTTTTAACCCTGTCGCTGAGCTTTCTGCCCATCAATCCCCTGCTGAGCTTCCCACTGAGCCACCCCGTGGGCGCGATACCCCAACGCTGAAAAAGCTCGAAGGTCGGGACTGGGATACTGTTTCCGAACTCGAGGCCAAGAAGCGCCCCGCTTCCAGTGGTACGTCACGCTCCGCACGCAAGTCTGTAGGGTTAAGCTCACTGTTCGAACAGGTTATCCAGAGTGCTGATTCATCGTTGCCTGATCAGAAGGAGTTCTTCTTTCAGCACGCAATACTGACTTCTTGCAAGAACCCTGCCCCTGCAGCTGACTGCCAGTCGTGCGAGCTGCCGTATCAGGACGAGCGTAAGCGTACAATCATGCTTCCAGACATACATGGGCAAATCGTTTTTAAATCGTTTTGGCAAACCTTAAAACGTTAACGCGTTTAAGCAAAAATCCTTATAACGTTAAAGCGTTTAACGATATAAACGATATAAAAACGATATAAGATACATCATGCCAAGACCGGGTTATGTCCATTCTAGAATCTCCTCTACCTCATCCCTTATCATCTCTGCTTCGTCATCTTGCTCTGGTTCCATTGGTAGACCCATTCCGTTGAGAGAACACGGTTTTATGTGGCCTTCCCTAAGCCAACTGCCAATGCACTCGATCTTCTCAATGTTGTCGCAAGTGAGCCTCGACCGATCCCATGAACAGGTTCTTCTTGCACCTGAGAATGTTCTCTCTGGCTCGGACGACTCTGCAGCGATAGAAAGAATAGAGATAGCCATGTTGCTTAGCCTAGGGTAGCGCTGCCGTTGCTCCGATCGGCACCACCATTCAAGAGGGCTACAGTCGATTTGTATTACTGGACTTTCTGCGAAAATTTTAAGATCGTCGCTGTTTGATTGATCTGCCGCCGCAACTGACATCTGTTGTAGAATCTGATCGAGAACGGCACCGCGTTGCTTTAAAGGAGGAGCCATTTGTTGAGAAGCTGTAGGGCTAGCTAAAGGCAAAGCGTCCTTAAACTCATTCACCCAAAAGTTTTGAGCAGCGTTAATAGCTGGTTCGTACCATTCGGCTGGCCAGTTCTTCTTGAGATATGCTGCTCTACTTGCGGGATTTAGAAGAATAGCGGAAGCGTACACCGGAACCTGATCAGTCATGTTGTAGTACTTCTCAAGTACGAACCAGCCCATCTCGATCGATCGAACCATGCGAAGGTCCTCATTTTCATCTTTAGAGTAATGTATCTATAAAGCTGTTAACCGAAGACTTAAAGTTCGGATAACACGTTAATGCTTACCTTTTGCTGCTCATAGTGGACTAAAAGAGAGTCCATAATCAAAAGAGATTGAGAGATAGACGATTTATCTCCCTCCGCGTATAGCGTTGCTGATGCAAATGGTTGTAAAAATGTATGTGCTTTTTGTAGTATATCCCAGTCGTCAGAAGTAAGACGGATCTCGTTAAGGTGTTTCTCGTTATCGTGCATAAAGACCTTAATTGCAGCCATCTTCTTAATAGCCCGATCCATAACTGAGTACCATGAAGACCACCGAGTCTGATTGTCAATCCCTAAGCGGAGGCCTACCTTGCGATCCCACTCTGCTGCATGTATACTTGAGTTGCGCAGCCAGACACATAGTTGATGTAATTTGCGTAGTGTAGAGATGTTCTCAATACCACAAAAGTCCTCATCAACAGACCCATGGCTATCAACGCTGCGTCTTCGGCGAGACAACCTTTGTCTCTGTGAGGTTTGTGGAACAGCTTGGGCTTGGGCTCTAGGGTTTCTCTGTCGAGAAGTAAGAACGCTTGAAAACTCTGCGAGAAGCTCTTCCCCCATAACATCCGTTACGGCGTCGAGAGCAGCGGTAAGAGCCTCCTTAGAGGATGCAAGCAGGAATGCCTGCAAGGATAAATTGATAATATGACCGATACATCGGATACGGCGCTCTTTAGCAGTAAATTTAACCTTGTTAATATTAGCACCATCGCGTAACTTAAGCAGCGAAGGCCGATTTTTATATTAAAAGCCATGCTTACGTTGTGCTTAGTTCGAAGGAGGGTTTCAAGATGCTCCAAACAGGTATCGTTAGATGTTGCGTTATCACCCGTATGCCAGCCAACTCTAGACTGTATCCCATATTCCTCGAGGGTTTGAAGAAGTAAGTGTGCTTGCTGTTCTCCAGAGTGGCTGTAACGACATTCTGGCAGTCCTAAAAGAGCCTTCTGAAGCTTATATTCGTGATCGACCCACTGTGCGCATACAGCAAGGAGAGATGAACGGAACGGTGATGTCCAGAGATCTGTTGATATGTGGATAGGACTCACAGCCGTCGATAAGCTGCCTTTAATTACATGGCCTTTATAAAGCTGATAATTCGAGGCGATAAGACGTACGGCTGTACGTCGACTTGTGATAAGCTGGTCTTCAATAAATGGATTGCAAGCAAGCGCTAGATCCCTCATTTCAGACCATTCGATTGATGAAAAGGCTATTCGACGTCGAGTCAGAAGACCGACAAGCGCATCGCGATACCCTTGTTCATTGAAGGCGTTGCGGATAATTGTCTGATCAGAGACAGTCCTAAACACTGAAGTGATAGCTGGTTGCGACGACGAAGAAGAAGTTTGCGAGGGCTGAGAAGACTCTGACGTTGTATGATATGCTAGAACATGGTGGATAGAGTTTACTCGGTGACTGCTAAACCATGAGCGACAGCGTTTGCACACATACTGCTTTTTCAAACGCTGGCGCTTTGCATTGCTGGTGTTACAGACAGTTTCGGTTCGTATAACAGCGTCAAAGTGTGGCGGCGTTGCGGGTCTTCGCGACGGTGGCGTTGATATCGCACTTGCTGACAAGGTATTCGATGACATAACGATAATAGATGCTATAGATAATGGATTTGTTGAGATTTCAGGTTAGTGGGGAGTGGTTGCAGAGTTTTTGAGATGCAAAGGTGGGGTGCTTGGCGCCAAGCCTCTTATAGCGTTTTTAAATCGTTCACGCGTTTAAGGATTTTCTTAAACGCGTGAACAGTTTAAGCTGTTAAAGCGTTTTAAAACGTTTTAAGCTAAAACGTTTTACGCAAACGCGTTAAGCTGCCCATGTATGCTTCCAGAATGTGGGTGCTTTCACCACGAGCGCTGTCTCGTTGATAATCTACGTGCGCTCGACCAGGACTTTGGCAAATGTCCAACCTGCCACATGACTATTTGCGTGCGCACATTGGCTGATTGCATCAACTCTGACCGTCAAGCCATCTTCGGCTCACAATTCACTGCTCTGCGTAGCGAGGTTTTTATCGTCTTCCCGCACCGCGATGAAGCAGTGAAGTGCATGTCAGAAGAGGAAGCTGCAACTGCACTATGTCGGCTCGTGAAGGACTATGTCGACGTCCACGCCGAGGAGCTCTTTCGTCTTTGGGGAACCAATCGCGCTGAGCCAGATTGGTATACGAGTGTCGTGCACACAGTTGTCAAGCTCTTCCAGGGCTGGAACAGAGCCTTCCGGAACCGCTTCTTCCCAGACTCTGAGGTCTTCCTCAAGCTCATCGCATGGGCTGAGTTGGTGCGCTTGATGAACACGACGCGTGTCCTGACGCAACTTGCGCAGGGTGAAGATGCGTTCTTTCCTCAACTTCAACAGTTGCATTCAAAGTTCACGCTGTCTCGGAACCTGTATGAGCTAGAGAAGAAGACGGGACATCTGCATAGTGTGGGCGCTTTTGACTGCGACAAGATTGCACTTGATGCAGTCCGACTGGCAATGGAGACTCACGTGTCATGAGCGTTCATCAGAGAAGCGTGCGCTAGAACGTGCCCCGGTGATAATCATTAGTCGTGCATTCAAATTCAGGTAATGTTGAGAATACCTGGGTTCAGTCCAGGGTAGAAGGTGCTTGAGAGTCACATGATATGCTGGTGTGGCAGGCACTGCCCGGTGGGCAATAGCACCCACCACAATAGAGTGAGACTGCGACACTCAACAAGATAGTCAATACAATACGTTGCAGCCACCCCGCCTTGTCCCTCCTCCCACTCGGTTATCCATAGTAGTCATACTACTAGAGGGACCTTGTTCCAATAGATATCCAGAAACGAGTGATTTTTATTTAGTAGATGGAGTTTTTTTTGAATGGTTTAGTGGTTTCAAAGCCGCGATACATACCGACCTTTCACTTGATTGCAGCTGTGGATCACGAAGGATATATCGATTTACATTGAGGGTTCAATCAAGAAGCATCGTCCTTTCTTCGATACCTACGTTACTGAAAATGCATTCAGATCATCCCAGTCGGCGATCTGCTGGAATCCCGTTCTTTTCCTCTTCGGTTAACTCCACGCCGAAAATCTCTTTCAATGCTTCCACACGCTCATCCTCTGTCTTGCAGTCCTTCAGAACCCGTCGATCGGTACCGATAGTCTCCTTAACCTCGCCGCCAAATAACGTGACATTTCCAACAACAACTTCGCGCTCCTCGTCCATGATCATTTTTGTAGATGTTACATATCTGGTAAAGAATGAGCGTTTGTTTGCGGACGTATACCACGACATGATCTCATAGTCCTGAGGCAGAAACTCCGTCTCAGTGAAACAATACACCGGCACCCACTGGCTCTCTCCATCGTCCACGGGATTGTAGCAAACATCATAGCACCACAGCTTGTTGGAATGTGTTCCATACGACTCTGCTATGGCACGTGATTGTAGGCGTATCTTTCGTGGAGCAATGCTGGTTGTTTCAAAGCCATCCCGCAACGGACAAGGCAAGCAAGGACCCATAGATCCCATGCCCACGTCCACAACATACCATTCGTTGTCAAGTCGGACAAGATTGAGCATGTGGTTCCAGCCATCGTAGGTCATGGCCTGGTTGCGGCGGACCTCTGGGTAGGGGCTCATTGCGCGTGATACGCGACCGCCGCAATTGCGCACTTCGTAGCCAAGCGAGCGGAGGACTGTCCCGAAAAAGGTGTTGTTCTCCATGCATCGTCCTCCACGTCGCTTGGTGACGATCTTTGTGTAGAGGTCCGCGACATCAAGGGTAATGGTTTTGTGTGCGGAGTAATGTAGTTCAAGGTTCTCGAAAGGCACAGTGCAGGTGTGATATCTGACCAGGGCCTGCAGAAATGGGAGCCCATGCTCGGTGGCGGTAGCCTTGGTTCGGTCCGATAGAACAGGCGAATCGAGATACTGTTGTGGAAGTCCGAGTCGCTTAAAATAATCCTGCAACTGGACCTCACTGTAGCGAGGACGGTCGCCGTCGCTCAGCGGTAGTTGAGTCAAGGAGGTGGGCACCGAAGTTTGTGACATTGTCAATATCAGGATTGTGGTTTAGACGTATCAACCAGAGTCGATCAGAAGATCAATACAGATATGTGATGCAACGTCGGAGATGTATCTACCTAGGCACAAGACTCGGATGTGTCCCGTTGCGCGTTGATTGACGCTGGGAGGCGAGACATGGACACGGACACGGCTGCTTCGGAGTCCATGCGTCGGATGGTGAATCGCCATCCCCACTTTATGACGTCTTTAGCCTAGATGATACTAGCTTATCGGGTCTAACTCGGGATTACACCCGGACTTGCCGCGGCAGTTAGCGTGACCTTTAGCGAGCCCGGGCTAGTTGCGCTCTCCTCCAACAGTCACTTTTTCTCTAGTCTACGCACCTTGGAGATGAGCCCCACCACCACCATGTGCAATTTTTGCGGATCAAATTAAATGCATTGACTCTAATCATCTAAGTATTTTACTGTACTACCGCTACGTAATGGGCTGAAGATACCGACCCCAATCCCTTCTCTCGCTGCCGAGTGTAATATGTGCACCACTCATATGGCTCACATTACAGATCCAGAGTTATCACTACAGTGCAAAACTTTCGCAATGAAACCGCTGGCTCATGCACCTTGGATGAAAGTAGTAACAGTATACATGAGTAGTATCTGACCAGTAATTGGTTCAGTCTCTGGGAGAGTGTACACAACTTACATTTCAGCACAGTCCGCAACAATCAATTAAGTGGGTCCTAGAAGGTTCAGATTGGATTGATTGATTACCGCTTTAAGCCTAGTAGTTACCTATAGGAGTTTAAGCCCTACCTAGATAGGTAAGTGGGTCTAGGAGAGTGACCGGATTGAATTGATTGTTGCGGAGTCTACATTTCAGCAGCAGTCATGAAAACACCAAGAAGACCAATCAGTACATGAAATCTAAATCTGATTTTCTACATAATCGATGCATTCTGACGATCTCTAAAATCAGACATCCATATCAGCATTGGATATATGAAGCTGAAGCGCTTGACAAGAGCCTCAGCTACGAGGCTGAGCCCGACTTCCTGAAGGCCTTGGAACCGGGCTGCACATTACGGACCATTGCTGGAAGTGTCTAAACCCAGAATATATCTAAAAGTATGAGATGACTCAAACAACTTCCCGCGCAAACTCCGCCAAGAAACCCCAGAAACTCTTCTCCTTCCACCCCTTAACCTTCCACTCATTTGCCCCCGCTGGGAAGAACTTCACAACCCCCCTTAAACTTTCATCATGCGCAATTACCGGAAAAATATTCTGCCAAGCATCAAACTCTGTCATCTTCTCTATACTCCTCGTCGCCTCTGCCGCGCAAAAGTGCCACCCACCCTCCGCAGGCGTAGGATCGAAGAACGGCTCCTTGCGGCTTTTCTTCGGGTGCATAGCGACGAACATCTCTCCTGGACAACTCGGGGGCACCATGGGAAGACGATGGCGTAGAGGATGCGGGGCTATCTCTTGCGGTAAGGGATTGTAGTTTGTGGGACGAAACTCACCCCCATGATGCGCAATATCGCCCCCCAAGAAGATGAACGTCGGTGGCTCAACCGTCGTACGCGCGAGCACAGAGATATGTCCCACCGTATGTCCCGGCGTATTGAGTAAGTAAAAACTTCCATCGCCGTAGAAATCCAGGGCTTGGAATTTGCCTATTTGCAACCTTTTGCCGAACTCTTCGTTAGCGTCGTCAAAGTCAACCTCACACAACTGCCGTCCTGCCCACGCACGCTCATCAACATGCGACTCCGGCACCGTCGGAAATGCAGGCACAAAATGCCTTTTAAACCCCGGTCCGACGATCAAATCTGTGGTAGGCGGGAAACGCCCCGGATCGCCCACGTGATCGAAATGCCAGTGCGACCATATGATCCCGCCGATATCAGTAAGCGACACACCGTTTTCAGTTAGAATGGTAGCAACGTCCTTTTCAACCGTGATAATGTAGCCCGAGCGCTCGATTCCCTGAACGAATGTTGTGGGGCAGTTTTCTCGCCAATCTTTGCGCACGCCGAGGTCGAAGAGAAGGGTGGCGTGTTTGCTGGTGTTGGTGGGGTGGCGGATTAGGAAGGAGTAGGATCCGACGGAAATTTTTGTGAAGGAGCCGATTTGAGGGTGCATGAAGGTGTTTGTGGGGAAGCCGCTCATGTGGCTGGTTGTGTCGATTATGGAGACGTTGACGGTGTGGTGGGACAGGGGAATGTTTAGGGGGGGAGGGGGTTGTGTGGATGCCATTTCTTTACTCCGTGTTGCAGATGTAGCTTGTGATTCGTTTCGCTGATATGTTCGTTTGTGAAAATGGTCAGGTGTACAGGTGATTGGAACCATGCAGTGCATTTGAGCCTCAAAACTCGCGATTGTGATAAGGGAGACTCGGAAAAGCATAGTTCCGCATGGGTGTCACAACAGTGTTTCTTTGACGAATGTGCGGTATCTAACTTTGCGGGCTGTACCGATGATGGATAGAAAAGGTGGGGTAATTGTGGAAATGTAGCCGGCATGGAAGGGAACGTTGAACCTGATTCGTTGAATTTACAACGCTACGTCTAGAATGAAGAAGCGTTGCATCGACGTGTCAACCCCAAAAGTTCTTGAAAACCGGGACACACGAAATGCAAGGCAAGCAAGCATCATCCCGTATATATCACAGGTATCTAGATAATCTACAGCACATTTTGCGTTCGCTGCGTTTGCAGCCTAGACATAGCTGTGTCCACATCCCCTCGAATATCATGAAACCATAACCAATCAAACCATGCATCCTGTAGTCTCGGTAGAATCTTGCCCATATCAGAGCCTCGTTCTTGGTCTCGAAAAAAGACCATGTCACCCACTTCCGCAGCCCTGTCCAGCTGCTTCTGAGCTCGTGGCCGTCGCACCGAATCGTAGGCGTCAAAGGCTGCAAGAATGTATGAATTGAGGCTCGAGATGCTTTGTGGAGCCGTTGGGAGTTCCCCAAACACGGCCGACAATATCAAAGCGTCTTCCAGGCCTTGAGCAGCGCCAGCAGCTTGGAAAGGCAGAGAAGCATGGGCGCTGTCACCCATGAGAACCACACGATCGCGGTAGTATGTCGAAGTGTGCTTGTGATGGAAGAGACCCCATTTGATTGGCTTTGCCAAACGAAGAAGTCGGCGGAAGCGATCATCAATGTCGGGGCCCTCGAAGTCGGCCATCTTGATCTCCTCGGTGACTTTCTCCGTGACAGCGCATTCGAGCATCCACGGAGTGTCGGTAGCTACGCAAAGAAGGAAGTTGAACTCCTATCGTTTAGTATTGGTCAGCACGTATTCAAGGTGTAAATATGAGCGCGGAAGAGTCAGCTTACCTCGCCACCCGTGATGCGATAAGTAACAACACTACGCTTGTTGCCGAAGTACATCTTGGCAACATCGGTTAGATCTCCCAGAATCGCTTTCGCTTCAGACATAGAAATGACACCTCGATAGCAGTAGGCGTCGGCATATACTGGGGCGACCTGGGTTGGATAGGATGGTTTTAGCACGTGCTCTCGCGCAATGCTCTTGATTCCGTCGGCGCCAACACATATACTGGCCTCGGCAACGTCACCATCCGCAAATTTGAGACCAACTTTGTCGGAATGCTGCTTGATGTCCTTGAGAGACTTATTGAACTTGACAGTCTCTATCGGGATGAAGCTTGTCATAATTTCCAAGAGCTCCTTTCGATGTGCCTATCCCATGTTAACACAGCGCCATGACATGTTGACTACAACGCTACTAACCGATTTTCGATTGAAGTCAGGGTGACCCCAACATGATTTACCGTGCCATGTTTGATCTTGGCCTGGAAGCATTGGTCAGCAAGATGATATGGTCAGACTCCGCAACAATCAATTCAATCCGGTCACTCTCCTAGACCCACTTACCTATCTAGGTAGGGCTTAAACTCCTATAGGTAACTACTAGGCTTAAAGCGGTAATCAATCAATCCAATCTGAACCTTCTAGGACCCACTTAATTGATTGTTGCGGACTGTGGATATGGTGGAGAAGATGCTAGATAATACGTACCGAGACCTTCCTTGATGAGCAAGCCCTCAAAGAAGACATTCTGGGCATCTGCGGGCTTGTTTCCAACACAAATCTTCTCATATTTAGGACGGAACTCTGGCTCGATAATGTCCATTGCCCGTAGACCGTTAGGGGCAAATCCGATACCGGCACTTGATGCGATCAGACAGGGTACACCGCCAAGGTCTCTGGAGGATCTCACCCAGCAACCGAGTATTCCTTCGCTTCCTCATAGAGTGTAAATGATATGCCTTTCTTGTGCAACCCCATAGCCAGTGCAAGGCCTGCAATACCGGCGCCTAGATTTTGCTTTAGTTGGATATTCGCTACATGCGGACCAGATCATGCAACTGTACCGACAATGGCGATATGGAAGTCGTTGACTGTGTTTCCAGCCATGATGAAGTTGGTCAGTCTGTCCGGCGTGATGTCAGCTATATGTTGTCATTTACCAGTGTAGCGTAAGCCTATAGATATGGTAATAAAGTATCAAAGGTATTGCAACGACATGACATAGGTTCACACAGAGGATCGGGAATAGATGGCTGATAAGACGATGAAGGAGCGAAGATGCGCGCTGCAGATTGGCTCAAAACTATCTCAGAAGGTTGGTTTTCGGCCTACGCGGTCCAAGATGACGTAACGCACCAGATCGCTCGATGCTTGTTAGGTGTTAACTATCAGTCGTGAGTGGGGGCATCTGGTGGTTTATCGATAACGGAACCTCCACCCCTAGCTCCCCCCCCCCCCAACATAGCCGGATCCCGGCCGCAAATCTCACTCATTACCTTCCTAATCCGGTACCTTACTTTTCGCAAGTCCCCAAGCGACAGGCTGCATAAAGCCATGGCGACTTTAGAGGAAGAGCATGCGCCCGAGACGGCTGCTTCTGCCAGCAAACGAAGACGCATTGCTCTGGCGTGCAACGCGTGTCGTAGTACGCGTCTGCAATAGTCACTAGTCCGCGGAGCGAGATCACGTGATGCAATCTGGTACAGCCCATGATGCGTACGGACGGGAGCAGGCAACACCGATCAAAGACGAGTACGACAACAGCAGATTACATGCATCTACGTCGATTTTTCAGGGAGAAATATGACCGCTGCAGTGTTCAACAGTGTTTTAGTGAGGCTATGTTGAAACAACTCGTGTGATATAGTATGCAAACCTTCTCGGGTGTTGAGCATGAGTTTATGGTAAGTTCGTTGCCTTAACAGTCGCTGGATGATTAGTGGTGAATAGTCGTGGGCGTTTCTCTGAGCAATCAGTATGAAAAATCTGCGAAGGAGGGAAGTTTCAGAGTCTAAGGGTTTTCGTGGGGTAGTTTGACGTTTGTCTAAGGTTGGATGAAGGGTGATTTAGGAATTGATGGTTGTTGCAGAAAGCCTGCGCCAAGGACGTGAGAGGATGATATAGGTGACGGGAGTGGTTGTTGGACTGAACACCAAATGCCAAAAGAACGCATAGATCCATTCCAGTTCTCAGACTTCCACGAGGCCTGTAATCTTGAACTATAACGTAATCTGTCAGGGAAAATCCTTGAGTACCTATGGCAGCTTAGCGTTAGCATTTATCAATTGTAACAATATATGATTGTTTGGTCCACCCAGCTCCTCCCATTAAATCGCCTCCAGACACTGAACAGCCTCAGCCTCTAGCACAGTCTCTCTATCCATTTCAATCAAACACATGCTTCCCATATCTTCCTTCCATCCTATGACCGATGTGATTTATTCGAGCCGCGACCCAACCCCCTCAGGTCCACCAAGCGCATGAGTAACAATCATTCCCGTAATCAGCTGGTGAAGAACCAGCTCTCAGGTGACATCGAAACGATACCGCAACTGGTGAGATTATATACTTTGCATTCAATGGCAGCTTTGAGGCGGCTGGAGACTTCATGGTTTGTTGGCTGCTACAGCGAGCATTCGGACTGGCGGCAAGTTACCGATGCTGTAGCCGGGAGTCATACGCCATGGTCCAAGCATATACATATGTGCCTACCGGGTCATGAAATGTTGCCCAGCTTACCCAGCATTCCTAAGTCGGACGCGTCGACGGGTTTGTTGGCGTGATCCGCAATTGTGCAACATGGGAAGTTCGTATCACAGCTAGTGTGCACCAACTGCCTACAACATGGCCACGCTTGACTCGGGTATCCGACTACGAGAAAATGTGAGTAAAATACGGGATATTTATCGCTTTAGAGCGTGCTCTACGGAGGCATATATAGCACTATATGATCGTTAGGGATCATCGTATGCGACATGGCGTATGTAGCTCCGCTGTATTTCGAGTTTACAACAGCATGGGAGCTGTAACGGGCTGAGCCCGAGGTCACATGACTAGGCCAGCGGCCTAGTCGCTTCCTTCCTTCTATCACTTCTTCCCCCAGCAGACCGTGCGCCGTGCGCCAACCCAAACAAAGCGGGATGGCCGCCCACTTTCCTCTTCTTCTCTTCATCTCGACTGTGAATAGCATCTGGATTAGGTAGCTGGAATACAGTACCTACAGACCGTTCACATGAGCGCAACCCGAGGCCACGAATAACGAGGAAGCTTTCGTACGCTTCTCTGACTCGGTTTGGTGTTGATATCCAGGGGTTGGGCCCGGTGGTGGAGTACGTAGATAAAACGACTACTTCGATACGGACGAGCTCGCCTCTCTTATGCATCCATCATTCCTTGAGGACCTTTTCGCATGTGTAAGGATAATTTCCGTTGAGCAATACTGTCAGCCATAGGGCTTATCTCTTGGCTCCTCCTTAGGCAACCAGCACAGTCCGCAACAATCAATTAAGTGGGTCCTAGAAGGTTCAGATTGGATTGATTGATTACCGCTTTAAGCCTAGTAGTTACCTATAGGAGTTTAAGCCCTACCTAGATAGGTAAGTGGGTCTAGGAGAGTGACCGGATTGAATTGATTGTTGCGGAGTCTAGTCACAGACAGTTAGGTTAAGAAGAGATAGATTCTTTACCCCGCGCGTTCCCTAGATTGCCTATATCAGCAAGGCGGAGTTATCTATGCTAAGCTCACTGTTAGCTATATCAGGCGTCGTTCGTGGCTAGCGACCGACCGTTACAGCCGTATCAGAAGCGTTCCAAGACGCCGTCTATACACGCGCCAACCGACCGGTTGAGATTTGACCCGTGTACAACCCACGACCACCGACGCATCTCTAGCGAACGCAGCTAGCGCAACAAGCGTCAACAAGAACACAATGGCAGGAGAGAGAACATCATCGGAAAGAGCACCGGTAGCCAGGACGCCGGCAGTAGGAATGGCGAGCAGTAGTAGAAGAGTGGTACCCACACTAGAGGCGCTACTAGGGACCACAAACATAAAACCAAGAGAATGGCATCACATCGATCCAGAGATGTGGGAGGACAACCTTGAAGCTCCAGACGATGAGGTAGGGATTACTACAGCAACAACGTACATTGCGCGTGCGATTGCGGACTATACAGATCGACCAACAGCAGATGAAGAACTCTTTTGGGAGTTCCGTCAGGACTTTGAAGGATGGACAGAGGCAATGTTCCTACGTGCCCAGCCAATATACACAAAGGAACTAAAGCGGATCCTCCGCTTTAAGGGAGTGTATACTGGCCGTATTAATATGGCACCTAGTGAGTCTCTAGCTAGGTTATTACGCATGGAGGAGTACCTAGAATGGCCTCAGGACGTATTCCAGTCGGCTGTGTTTGACACACGATCAGCTGCGCACATGTGCAGAGCGGGCACTACGCAACAACGCAGTGAGATCAGTACAGTCCACAGACAGGAGGATTATCAGCCAGGCCCAGAGCCGAACCCAAACGCCTGTAAGGACAAGAGGCCGAGACGTAGACAGTCGGCAAACCCGCGATCAAGACCAGACCCACGCCCGTGTGCAAGGACGACAGGAGACCGTTGAGGAAGAACAACAGATTCAGGACCAGCTAGCAAAAACGATTGAGAAAGCCCAAAACCAACCAATCCGAAGCCAGCCTGTAGAGACAACTGAATCCGCACCGCAGCCAGCCTATCAGCGCGTCCAAAGTCAGCAACCTCCCCTCACCTACAACAACTTCGACCGATTCCGCGAGTATACACCAGCATACCCGCAACGTCCGAAGGGACTGAGCGTTCCCCCAATTGTGCCCTCTGGTGAAACAGACCCGTACAAGGCAGTTCCACCAATCGAGTTTGGCAATGAGAAACTGGATCCTAAGACGATCAATGTCTTCGTGAAAATGTGGGACCGAGACAAAAAGTATACGGGAAAGCCGTACGACCTCCTAGACGATAAATTGAAGATCTTCTACAGCATCTGTTATCACGCAGACATCGAGCCAGGGCAGTTCCATGCAGTCTTTCCACGGATTCTCGACGGCCGCGCAGAGGAGTATTACCTCCACTTCGTCGATCAGCGGATGGATACGTTCTTGACTGCCTACACAAAGCTCAAGAACCACTTCGACACAGACGTCAACCACGGCCATTACTACGCGGACTGGACGACGACATCGTTTGTCAAAGTCCGCAGGGAGAACCCCGAAAAGAACCTCCACGAGGTCCTTGACATCATGCTGGACAAGCTCCAATTGTGTCAAAGAGCACTTGGACAGCAGTACATGGGAGAATACGCGCTCCGAACGACTGTAATCACAGCATGCCGAGGCGTGAAGGAGCTCGAGATGGCACTCTACAAGCCGTCTCTAGAATGCGAGGTTCTGTTTGGAGATCTGCGATCGTCAATCGAAAACTCACTCGCCATGACCGTCTCCGTCAACTTCACTGAGGCGGATACGGATAGCCAGTACTACTTGGATCGTCGGTACAACAACAACAGCTCTGGAAGATTGCGAGGGAATTACAACCCTCGCGGTGGACGCAGCGGATTCACCCGCGGACGCGGTGGGCTTCAGCACCGCTCTGGAGTCAACACACAAATCGACAAGAAATGTTACGTCTGCGGCAAGACAGGCTGTTGGTCCACAAACCACACGCTTGAAGAAAGAAAACGCTCAAAAGCGCAGTACATCACACACTGCGCGATTACGGGAGAGCAAATGGAGTTTAGCACATTTCTCGTCGCGTACGAGGGGGAAGAAGTCGACCAGTTCTTCCTAGAGGAGCAAGACGAAGATGATGAGGACCAAAGATTGGCAGTTAAGTACCTCACAGATCAGGCCTTTTTGCACCACGTGACTGGAGAAGACGTCTACAGGTGCAAGGAGCCTATTACGCCCGCAACGCAGTTCCTTATCGAGGATCGATACTCGCGAATCACGTACCAAGGCATTCTTCCTGACACTGGTGCCTCAAATGTATCGACAGCCGGAAAGGAGCAGTTCTGGGCGCTCCAAACTGAGGACCCCACCGTAACTCTAGATACGTCTACTGCTGGAAACGC